GCAGGAAGGAGGACAGCCAGCCAGAACCCTGAGAGGAGTTTGCCTGTCCCTCTTGGTAGGCCATGTGGAAGGAGGTGAGGCAAAGTGAGATCCCGGTGATGCTAAACACGAGGCTGTCGTCTTATGGTCACTCGTGTAGTCACTTGCACGATGTACTCGCTAGGTTGTGATCTAGCCAGGACCTATGTGTTCTCTCGTATTAAAACTAACTTTCTAGCAATATCCGCCTGCATCCTGCTCATATGACTGACTCTCTGCCTCTATTTTCCTCTTCGTACCTCGTATCTCTCCGCATCACTTGCGTTGTCTCTGTTACCGTGCTCTCTAGGCGAGGCCCCAGCTCATCGTGCCTCCACATCATCTTTTCAACCGCTAGACCCACAGGCGGCTCTCCCCGGGGCCCTGCTTACTCACCTGCTCTCCAGTTGCCTCCCCCACAGACCCATGGACTTTCCCCCAGAGCCCATGCTGCAGGGAGGGTCTCGCTCCAGGACCCCTGCCCGGGGCTCTGAAACACTGCTCTCTGGCTACGTCGTGGCAGCAGAGATCACTTTCTTCCAGGAGAAAGCCCACCCGTAACCCAGGTGTGCCTTTCCTTTCAGGCTTTGAAGCCAGCCTGGGCCAGCCCCAGCTCGGGGCCCCACAGCCATGCCCAGCTGGGGCTGAGGTCTGGGAGCTGCCGCCCAAGCCTGTCGTGACTCTCCTTCTCGCTGGACACCAGACCCAGACATTATGGCCTCCGTGCAGAGCCTGAGTCCCACATCCTCAGTTTTCTGAGGAGTCTCTAGCCCTGCACTCCCCCTGATACAGGACTAACACTATTTCCTGATACAGAACTAGCACCTGGGGCTTCGCTCTTGAAAGACTTCTCAGAAAACCAGCAGGGAGAGGCATGCAGGGTTTGAAAAGTAAACGGCAGGGTCCAGGTCTTCTGTCCAGGGGCCCAGGGTCTCTCGCTTCTCAGCCACTTACCCTGGGCCTGGTGCCCCCTCCTCACTCCTACACCTGGGAGCTTTCAGATTTTAGGTACAGGAGTAACCCCCTTGTCCCCCAAGCAGCTAACGTTCCTGGCCCTGCTTCAGGGCCACTGTCCCGGGGTTGCCAGTTCCCAACTGCGGCCATCTGTCTCATGGGAGCCTCCGCTGAATCGCCCCAGAGGCCGCCCCATCTGCTGTGCAGGACCTCTGCCCCCTGGGCCCAAGGGAGCACCTTACCTGTGAGCACCGCAGGGGCTAGGACCCCGAAGAGAAGCAGTAGCGCCATGCGCAGGGTCAGACAGAATGCCATCCTGGGCCGAGTGAGTGTGGCCAGCGAACGGGATGCACCGAGGACTGAGCTGGTTAACTTCAGGGCGGCGGGAAAGAGGTATCAAAGGGCTGGGAAGGGTTTTCATCAATGCAAACTCTGTCCTCCTGGGACACCGTGCCCGCCCCCCATGCATGCCAACACACACACACACACACACACACACACACACACACACACAGCAGAGCTAACAGAACAGACTGCTTTCCTGAATTCTGGAGCAGCCCCACCTTCGGAGGGGAAAGAGGAAATTGCTCCCTTTCTCTCTCTCTCTCTCTCTCTCTCTCTCTCTCTCTCTCTCTCTCTCACCTCCATGTGCAAAGACTCACCCAGGGAACTGGAAAATGCAGACACCTTGGGCATTCTGTTTCAGTGGGTTGTATTTGAGCCCAGGAATCTATGCCCAGTGCCCAGGGCCGGGCGAGGAGACTTGCCCTGGGCTGTCGGCACTGAGCAGCAGGCTCTGCTCACTTTCGGGCCCTGGATGCCTGGCCGGGAGCGGGCTTGTTAAGGAAGCACAGCACTTTTAGGCAGTTTCAATCCAAACCCTCTGGCTGCGCTCATCTCCTTCCAGAAAAGCCCATGTCATTAAATGCCCTTGTCTTGCTCTCTGCTCTCCCAGGTGCCTAAGACTTGAAATGCCACCTAAATGCTCATCATGTATTGGGGCCAGGTCTGGCCCCATGGCCCACTGCCTTGCTGACAGCTTCACGGGTGTCTAATAAGCATCTCTAACTTAACATGACCGACACACGCCTTCGCTGCCCTGCCTTCCCAGCCCTGCTCACCAGGGAGCAGCCCCCACCTTTCAGATATCCTAGCCACACAATGAAAAGTCATCAAAAGTCCCTCTCTTTTTATCTTACTACCCTTGTCTCCCCCCACACCCCGCAATAGCTCAGAAAATACTGCCATCACCCTCCTACCTCACACCCTTCATGGTTTCCCACTGCTCTTAGAACAAAAAGTCAACCTGAGGGCTTGCCTTGGCCCTGCTCCCCTCCCCCACCTGCTCAAGCTTGAGCCTGCCTCCCCTCCCCCAGAAAGCAGCCCCTCAGGTGGCTCCCTTCTCATCATCACTCGGGTCTCAGTCCTGATCAGTTAGCTCCCCATCCACTCGTCACATTAATTTCTTAATACTTATATTTACATGAAACTCTCTTGGCTTTGGTTTTGTTTTTCTCAGTTTTTGTGAGGACTAACGTACTGTGAAGTATACAAATGTTATGTTTACAACTGATAAACTTTTATACAGATATATACACCTATGTAAACACTACCCCTCCCCATCACCAGTCAGTACCCCCAAAGTGCCATTCTACCTTCTATCACCATAGATTCGTTTTGTCTACACTTGAACTTCAAATAAATGAAACCATATGATATGACTCTTTTGTTCAACGTTCTGTGAAATTCATCCACATCGTTGCATGTGGCAATAGCTCATTCATTCTTGTTGCTGAATATGCCACAACTTATCCATTCCTTTATCCATTTCATCCATTTATTTATCTATGTCCATTTGGGTTATTTCTGGGTGTGAACTTCTATGAATACAGCTCCTATGACTATTCTTGCACATGTCTTTTGGTGAACATGTGCACTAACTCTAAGGGTCAAATTGCTGGGTCAGAGGGTAGACAGTGTTTAGGTTCTGTAGATGCTGCCCAGCAGTTTGCCAGTGTTTGTTCCCATTTACACTCTCATCAGCAGTTGCCCTACATCCTCACCACACCCTGGTGTTGCCTGTCTTTTCGTTACTAGTCGCCTGCTGGGTATGTAGTGGTGTCTCATTGCAGTTGTATTTCCATGACTAATAGAGTTGAGCAGTTTTCCTTATTGAGCACAGGATTATCCTCTTTTGTGAAGGGTCTGCTCAATTATTTTTGCCTCCATACTATGGGGTGGTCAGTCTTTTTAGGGTTTTTTGTGTGTGTCCCAGATAAAAAACATTTGTCACGATACCTGTAATGGCATCTTTAGATGAAGTGTTCATTGGTTGTCTGTCCCCACCCTGTAAGTCCCAATACAGCAGGGACTGCTGTGTTCACCAGTGCATTTCCCGGACCTAGCCCCATCCCAGCGCATAGCAGGGACTTAATATGCGAATTTAGTCAGCTGGGATTTGGGGGACAGATTTAACTGTGAGCATCTTCTAACTGTTCACTCATTTGTGCTGCTTGATTGCTGTGTCCCATCTTCATTTTTCTGTACCCTGCAATGTAATGTAGCAACATACTGATAAGTACAGTCAGACCCCCAAATCACACTACTGAGGTCTTCCTGCTAGCATTTGCCAATAGGCAGCACTGCAGGGAGACAGAGGTGGGAGGGGAGAAGTAGCTTCCTGCTGCTTCAGATTTCTGACAGCATCCCTGGCGGCAGCAGCAGCAGCAGGAGCATTGGCTACAGTAACAGTGACGGGTCAGGTGGAGGTGGCTGGAAGTGCAGGCTCCTGGATCCCAACCTTAGCAGCCTCACTAGACCGTGCTCCAGCCTCTGAGCTATCTTGCTGCTCCTCCAGTCCAGGCTGGTGTCAACTTCCAAGTTGCAGTTACCATTAGATGAGGAACCTTGCCTTCTGTCTCTTGCTCCATTACCCCTTCAGGCATCCTTATAACAAATTCCCATATTAAATCTCTTCTGCTTGAAATACCTGCAGGGGACTGTTTCCTGGTGAGAGCTGGGAACACATGGCCCACCGTGTGCTAGGGCTCAGCTGTTTAGCATCAAGTGCCTATTGAAACAAGGCTTACAGGACCAGGTAGATGCTGCACTTGATACTTACAGAAGTGATGATGACAGTGAAGTAAACTGGCTACTTTTTACTGTGCTGGGTGCTCACAGAAAGGATAATTTCAAGGATTTGAATTCTAAGGTCAGGGCATGATCAGAGAACTAGAGCATTTATGTATTAGTCTTTTTAAAGAATCTCTCATTTCTTATAGATATGGGCGGGGCATAAGGTCAGGCCCAAAATATGCATGTGTTGCAGAATTAGAATCTTAAATTGAATTCAGAGCCATGCCAATTCTCTTAGGTGACATTCACGGCATTGACTGGGAAGGAGTGAGACCTTGAGGTCTTACTGAGGATCCCTGGGTAGACTGAGACAAATCCCCAGGCAGCGGGCTCTTCTCCAGTGTGAAGACAGCGCCTTTTCTTGTCTGAGTAATAAATAACCTCACCTGTTAAGTACCCTTTCAAGAGGATGCCTATTCTCAACACTCACCCTGACAACAACCTTATTGTCCCCATACCCATAACTAGAACTAAGGAAAACAGGTATAGAGTCTGAGCCAGGAGGAAGTCAGTACACACTAAACCAATTGCTAATTATTCTAGCAATAAATTAATAACTAAATACTAAGTAAGATTTTGCTAATTTATAATAATAAAAACCTGGAGAGTATGTGTGGGATAAATTCTAAGGTATTAGACTAAATGGATAGGATGTGAGGGATCTTAGATCAGGTCACATGTAGAGGTGTGTTTAGCAGAGATTCTGAACTCAATGTTTAGCTCAAACATCTAGAAGTAGCTCTAACAGCTTGACTAAAACCAAACTCAATAGTAGCCTGGATTCAATGAGATTGAGAAGCCTGATGTCTGAAGAGGAGGGAAGCCAGACTTAGGAAGGAAGGGATGTTGGAGTCGATTTATGGTGACTTCCTCACTGAGGCGCTGAGAGGTGTGTAGGGAAGGCGACCAGCATCTTTAAAAAGTTGTGTGGTGTGTGTTCCCCGAAGGCCAAGGCTGACAATGATGGGATGACTGACTTCAATGGGAATCAGATGGATATAAACACTACAATGAGTGTCCACAGTGTGTCCACAAGAATGTTCTGACCCCCAGGATTAAAACAGATGGGCGACCTGCTGATGTGTTACTTGCTGTACAAACATGGACAGGGGAGTGGAAGCCTGCACTTACTGCAGTGAGCAGAGCACCAACCTCTTGCCTAGTTCCCAGACCCAGACTCTCTGGACAGGAAGGCAGGCAGCTTCTCAGTGCACGGTGGCCACAAATATAAACAGACAGTCTTTCCCCAAAAGTGTTGGCAGCCACAGACCAGAGCCACTGTGCCCTGGAGAAGGGAGATCTTCAGGGATCGCTGGACACCGACTATGTGGACACTAATCTCTGGGACCCAAACGCCACTGTTCACCAGAGTGAGAGTTTATGAGAGTCAAGTGGTAGACAAGAGTTTTGGCCTGAAGCAATCTCAGTGGATGAGAAGGGAGGGAGACGGAGGCTGCCCACGGGCAAGAGGGGGCAGCTGAGACAGCATCCTGGGGAGGTGGAGCCATGTGTGAGCCAAGGTGCCAGGCCCAGTGCATGTTTCATCATTCCATCAGATTTTGTTTATAAAGACAAATTTGAGACAAAATTAAGAATTTCAAAATAGTGAATTGTATTTCAAATAATTAATAAACCACACTAAAGAGCAAAAAAATAGCAATGTACTCTCAGATTAGACAAAAAGTCTAAATTAAAGAAATTACTACATGATTAACCTTGTACATACAGGGTGGGCAAAAGTAGGTCTACAGTTGTTCATATGGAATACAATAATCAGTAAATAATAACACAAGAATAAACTTTCATATACTGACAACTGTAAACCTACTTTTGCCTACCCTGTATTTTTGTAATGTTGGAGGTGAATCTTTAGAGTAAACAAATACTGAATTCTAGCTAGAAAGACGTTTTCACAGTAGTATGGGTTAATAATTATGAGACCACATTGGCATATTCTAGGATTGAAAAATAAGGAAGTACACTGAAGATAATAGGAGTCAGTGTCTCATTGTTGGAGGAATTATTAATATGGAAAGGAGAAAGATTAGAATGGATCTTGTGTGTTGGAATTGAAGATATTACTAAGAACTCATGGAATGTAGAGATAAAGTTATGACATGTAGATACACAAGTGTATGCGTGTACACACACACATACACTGCCTCTCTGTGGAGACACCCCAGTAGCAATAAGCATGACCAGTGCCCAGATTTTGGTCTGGATACCATTCCCCATGA